GGCGGCTCGGGGGTCTGGGGCCTCAGGGGGTACAGTTTATCATAGTGCTCCCGGTACTGTTTGGCAAACTTCTCGAGCTGTTTAAAGGGAAAGTAATTCTGATGAACGTGCTCCTGATGACTCTTTAAGATCAAGATGTTGGAAAATAACTTGCCACAGGAGTCGCACTCAAGTTTTTCCAGGTTCTCTCCCTGTTCTGTCTTCCCATTCTTCTTCTGCACCTTCTGCTTATTCTCATTGTACTGAATGACCAGCTCAAAGCCAAAGTTCTCCAGCAAGGCCTTGGTGGCGTTCCCTCTGGCATCTGAGGCGATGCGTGGAGGAAGCATAGAAGGCTCAGAACCACCCCCTGGTGCCAACTCCTTCTTCTCTTTGGCCTTCAAGGCGTCTGGCAACAATTCCTTTGGACCCGTGTTGCCCTCTCCCCCCTCCACACCCTCTCTCTCTCTCTGGCTTTCTTTTTCCTTCTCTTTGATGACCAATTTGTTTTTCTTTTCGGGGTGCTGACTTGGCTGAAGGAGAGCAGAGTGACTCTGGGACACAGAGAGTTGACTTTGGTGCTGCTGCTGTTGCTGCAGGATCTGTTGGTGACTCTGCTGTGGGATCTGAACCTGAGCCTTCAGATCTTCCAGCAGGCCTGGACCAGTCCCTGTCAGCGTCAGTGCCCCACTGGTCACTGGCAAGCTCACCTCAGGGTTGAGCTGGAACTCAGCACTGGGGATATAGAAAGGGAAGAGGAGATGCTGCTGCTGTTGCAACTGCAGCAGTGTCTCAGTGGTCATGGGGAAGTGAGGAAGGAGGGTGGGATTAAACAGCTGTGACTGGATAAGGGCAGCCTGCTGCTGCAGCTCCTGCTGTAAGTGAGCCTGAACTTGAGCCTGGGCCTGGGCCAGTGTCTGTGCTTGCTGCTGCTGCTGTTGCTGTTGCTGCTGCTGCTGTTGCTGCTGCTGCTGCCTGGATGCAATCATATCTGCCAGCTTCTTCCGATTGGCCTCCTTGGGCTCTGAAGGGGAAGCGATGTTGGCACTGATGGGATTTCCTAGAGGTGGCATCCCGACAGTGTCAGTGGGCACTTGGCTCAGTAAGTTGGAGCTTGGTACAATGCCAGTACTACTTGGATTGGTGGTGGTAAAGGTGTTACTGCCACTGGTACTGACAGGACTTGGTGTGGAGGAGCTTAGGGAGACACTGCTGCTGTTCCCAGTCCCATTGCTGCTGCCACTTGCGGCCTCCAGCTTGGCTGCCCTGGCTTTGGTTTGATGCAACACAGACCTCATGTGGATCTCCAGAGTAGAACTCTGGCTATAGGCCACATTACAAGTGTTACACTTAAAAGGTTTATTGTCTGGGCTGCTGGTGGGTTCTGGTTGACCAGTTGCAGATTCTTGAAGGGCTCTTTTTAACTTATGTAGGTGGGAGACAGAATTGTAGTGCACTAGCAGGATATTCTTTTGAGTGAAAGATTCCTTACAGACAGTACACTTGTAAGGGCGAGAAGGGTCTAGAAATTTTTCCATGGTAAAGTTGGGGCCTTTTCTGAAAGGGAGAGCTCTCTTTGGCTCTGAGCCTGAATCTTCTTGTACTGACCCAGAGTCACTGCCTGTTGGGCTTTGTTTATCTTCCAAGTCACTCTCTTCCTCCTTGTCTTCTTCCACAATTATAGTGTGGTCTTCAGCCAGGGTGGGATCTCCCATTGCCAGGAGGTCCCCATTGGCCAAAAGGCCACCATAAAGTTGTTGGATGTCAGCCTCACTCAACTCCAGGTGGCTCGTCTCAAGGTGCTTTTTGAGAGCCTGGAAAGTTCGGAAACTGCGCTGACAAAGACAGCACATGGTGGCAGCTCTGATCACATGGTACTGAGAATGGAGCTGCAACTTTTCAATTGTCTTGAATGCCAGGCTGCACTGATTACACCGGTACTTGTACACATGGCGATCTGACACAGGCAGCTGAGGCCTTTTGGCATGCACTTCATTAAAATGTGTCTGAAGGGCAGCAGAAGTTTTGAAAACCTGGTTACACCCCTTTTTCCAGCAGAGAAAGCCCGAGTCTTCTCTCACAGAGCCTGGATCAGCAGAAGAAGGTTTCAAATCTCCACTATGTTCTGTGCTCACAGATGGTAAGATGTTTTTTCCCAGATCCTCTGATGTTTCTGTAAAAAAAAAAATATATATATCAAACCCAAAGATAAAAAAGAAGGCTTTGTTTCAGGATGACAACCCAAGCCATCTACCTACCCAGGCTTCATGAATGCAGAATGTTTTCAACCTGAACAACAGACTCTCTCCAGTATTAGTACTGTGCATGTTGAATATAGAAAGGGTAGAAAAAGTTTTGAGTCATAACAGGCCTATGTCATATCAGATCTCACCATCTTCTAAGTATTATTTTAAAAAAATAGTATTTATTTGCTTGACTTAGAATCTTCAAGATTCCCTTTTTATGTTTTAGCTCAGCAGATCTGAATTTTAATGCTGCCCTTAGTTGTGGGGAGATTTATAAAACTATTGTCTATTGTTAATACAAGAAATTTTGGATCGTAGTTTTTAAGCATTTAATTTGTTATGACTTTTGACTGTCATTTCTACTCACTCAAAAATGAACGTTCATGTGGCCAATTACTAAAACATTAATTTTTTTTGTCTATAGTGAGATCATCATATTCATAAATACCCTCACCCTTTTCAGTCATCTGTCTGCTGCCTAATATGGAAAAATTGCAAGGGAGAAGGCTGGGTAGTATTGTGGTTGAACTCCTCCTAACTTAAAACCTAGATGCCCATGAGAGGTAAAGGATATAAGATAGCTTCAAAAAAGTCTAACAATCCACTTAGTTAGGAACTACTGTGTGTCAAAAATAGTTTTTGCAAATACACTGTATAAGTGCATCATCATCTTAAGGCAATCCCAAAAGACATAATGAACTCTGCTGAGGCAGCACCCAGAAAGACAACTAATATAGTACCCCTCAAATCAACCTACATGCTCCACAAGTCCCTAATAACTAGGTCCTCAGAGATGAAATATTTAATGCCCTAGGATGGTGGTGTACAGGCCTGCTGACTGATTCTCTGGTTATTCACTACCTGACTGTATAGTCTTAAGTGGACATGAATCCATACCAAAATCTCACTAATCCTCAGATTTCTCTCACTTTATACCATAAGTATATATAAACACATGCCAAGAACCAGAGTAGGAAGTAGTTGGCAGTGAACCTCATCTCCTGATCAGTCACATTCAGCTTAGAATATTGTAAAGAGGGGATTTAGCTCAGTGGTTCCACCACCTGCCTTACAAGAACAGGGTCCCGAGTTCGATCCCCGGTACCCACACCCCCCAAAAAAAGAATATTGTAAAGAATTTCTGGACCCTTGCCCCATGAAAATTTTGGCCCGGGACTTCATCTTGTTTCAATATGTGGAAGTCAAGACTCATGATACCAACCAGACTGCTTTCCTGCCTCTTCCAAATTGGAATTCCCATCTCGATCTGAAACAGCTGCTGGGAGGAACATGCTGCTGGGCATCACCATCTCAGGGGTGGTCACCTGAGGAGCAAGAGGCACAGAGATGATACAGTGAAATGGAGAGGAAAGACACAAAATAGGAAGAGTTTAAAAATTATTTAATAAGCAAAATTAGCCTTCGCCAGTGTAAAGCTGGAGGTGTCACTTTTCATAGCTCACTGAAGATTTATGTTTATTAGACAAAGCTCACATCAGTCAAAAGTGTTTCTACGGTTACATTCTGGACATAATTAGCAGTGCACACTTGAAGAATAATCTTATTATTAATATTTTTCCTTTATGCAGAATTTTGACTTTGATCACTGACAATGTTTTGTCATGGGCTGTGAAACTTCTTGTGCAACCAATTAGGTAGATAAGTTGAAAGGCCCACCTTAAGCTGCTGAAAACATAATAAGGGCCCTAATTAAATCATACCTAGTAAAGTACACTGTAATCTTGAAGCAAGGAGCATTGTAGTACTGTTTTCAAAATGTATTCAGGCAAGACGAGGAGGGGAATAAGAGTGAAGGAAAGGGTAAGGAGGAGCGAGAAGAACAAAGGGAAGGGTAAGGACATGCAGACATACTGGCAGATTTTCTAGGAAACAGCATTTTGTAACCCTTTCCAAGCTGATATCAAGCACAAACAAGTATTTTCTGTGCATCCCTTAAGCCAAGATTTCTTCTGGTATCTTTGCCTGTGGCATATGTACATCATCGGGAAGATCTGCCTAGTGGCCAGCCATCCAAGGTGGCCTGCACAGCATTCGATAATGGGGCAGCCCCACTCTCACCACAGCCATTATTCCCTAATAAATCAATTCCAGAATTACCCTGGATCCAGATAGCTACAATTTTAGATCAGATCCTCAGACTTTTTTCTAGGCTTCCCTGGTCCATGGCCAGAAACTTGTCCAACTAGTTACCATTTTCCTTTTGTTAAAGTGATAAGCAGCCCTCAATAACCAATATAAGGATAAATGGGTTTTTTAAAAAGGTATAATATCAGCTAGGTGTGGTAGTACACACCTGTAATCGCAGCACAGATCCCAGAAGATCGAAAGTTCGAGTCCCACTTGGACAACTTAGTGAGAACCGGTCTCAAAAAGGAATAGCGATGGAGCTCAGTAATAGAGCACCCCTGGGTTGGAGCCCCAGTACTGGAAAAAGAAAACAAAAAAGCAATATCCCTTTGTCTGCTGTGAGGTGGGAAGGTTAGGTACCAATGATAGTCACAAATTAGAAATTGTCTCCAATTTGATGACAGTTTGAAAAATGGACTGACCTAGAAGCTACTAGGATAGAAGCTGTAGTTACCAATAACCTTTCTACATGTTACCAGCCCCACTCGGAAGCATTATTTTCCCACACATGACTTCACTGCAATAACATCTTCACTTTGTTGCAAAAACTGAAACATCTACAATTTTTATTTCAAATTAAATATTTTTTAAAATTACTTGCTAATTTTTAATGGTTTGAAGAACGTGGCCTTCCTCAAAACAGCCACTGACATGTTCACTAGGATCACCAGTAACAGGAACAACAATTAAAGGAAACCCAAACAACTACACGAATTGACACTAAAAAGTGACTCCCGATTCACACTTAGGGGTAGAATTTTTTTCAGCAACTAGGATGCCAATAGGTACAAAAAGTAAGCAACAGGCACTACAGAGAAGGGTTGTGAGAAACCGTGTGTTTATGGAGAGCAGGTGTGTGGCAGGTGAATGTGAGTGACATGGCATTCCCGCTCCCACAGACATCTGCACCCTTGCACAAAGCTCTCTGGCAGCTGGTTAGGACTAGCTGCTGATGAATCGTTAGGAATGAAGTGGAGATTGCCAAACTCATTCCATCTATTTTCTTTTTAATAGAAAGCATTTCTGACCAGTGTGGTTGGGGAGTCCAGCGGGAATTCAAGAAGTGAAAGGTCACCGATTAATTTATAGTCTTCAGCCAAGGGGAAGCACAAGGTTGGGGGTAAGGGGGGGAGAAAGGGAAAGAAAAAAAGACTCCCCCCCAACCTCCTTTCTCGGTTGTAGCCACAGGATCAGTCCTTTCCTGGGATCTTTAGGAATTATGAAAAATGAATCATGAGAAATGAAAAAAGCCCTACAGAGTAAAAAAGAATAAAATTATCTAACACCTCAGCTGCACATCATTATAGAAAACTGTGGGCTTTTTATACACATTACAGTAAGGCAGACATCCCCTCTAACAGACTCAGTACGACGGATCAGTAATTGTTTTCATACACTTTAATTAGAAAAACTCAGATGGCTATGAATAATAATGGAAAAGAGAGACTTTTGCACTTGAAAGGTTGAAGTCAATCAAGTGTGAATGACGGCAAAAAAGAAAAAAAAAAAGACACCAATTCATCAGCCCTCTGTTGTCTCGCTGCGACTTTAATCATAATTCCTGATTGGGATTCAAGAAGGCAGTAAGCAGCGGTTCTTTGTCTGCCTTCACCTTCCATCAATTAACTCTTCCCGAAATATAATCATCAACCTCACATGCTCCTCTGCATCTTAATCTGGGCTCCAAACCTGGAAGTCTTGCCCCATATGTGTTTAAGTAACTACTTTTATCTACCCGCCTCTTCTCATCTATAGTATACTCAACCTCTCACTGGAAAAACAGAAAAAAAAAGGGTTGGTATATGAAATGTTAACAGGCAAGACATCCCTAGGAGGCAAAAAGGAAGCATCCCTAAGGAAATCTTAAGTATCTAGAAATTCTGGTGGAGTCTATCTGCATGTGTGCCTGAACAGAAACTGACAGTGCAGACTCCCTTGCTATGAAGGCCACCAGAGGGTCTCTCATCAGTTCTCAGACACTCATCTTCCCTGGCTGTGCCTATTCCTTCCTCTCCTACCAGCTTCTAAAACTTGTCCCAAGGGCCAGGGATTTAGCTCAGTAGTTCTGTTGCCTGCCTTGCAAGCGCAAGGTCCTGAGTTCACTCCCAGGTACCAAAAAAAAAAAAAATGCTTTAAAACTTGTCCCTCCAAGCTTGCATGCTTTTTCCTAAAGAGCCCTAAATGTAACCCTGCCAACAGAGCTCACAGAAGAAAAGTGGAGAGAGTTACAAAGACAGATCTTCCAACACTTGCCTTGGTACCACCTTTGTTTTCTAATCATATCTGGCAACCAGACTGCATGGAAGGTTCGGACTGTGTCAGCCACAGTCTCTGAAGGCCAGACAAAAATGGGAAAGTCACTCCTCGGCTGTGCTAAATGCATTCTGTAAAGGCCTTTTCCTTTCACTAGGAGACTGAAGCGTGTAGGTTTATGACAGGAAAAAACCTGGCAACAGCCTAATCAGGACGATTCTAAATGTGCCCAATTTCAGAAGTCCCTTCTGCCAGTATCCCCACATGGATAACACACATGGGCCATCTCTGCTCTCTTGCCTGCCTTTATTTGCCCAGATTTGCCCCACCGACTTCCCCAGGTGTGGACTCAAAGCCAAAGTTCTGAGGTTTGGCTAATATACAATTTGTTCAAACACCTACACACTGACTTTACTGTCCACAGAACAGAATTATTATCCTAATAATCAGTACATCCACAAACACTGAACACATACAATTATGCCTCCCACACTCATGACTGGGCCTGAGAATATTAAAATGGGCTTAACAATAAGTAAACCAAGTCCCTTTGGACTTGGAAATTCAATTGATTAGCATCATTGGTTTTTTTTTAGCATTTAGATCTCAAGACTGGCTTCGGCTGTGCAAAGAGTGATCTAGACACTGTGTTTTCCTGCCACCCTGTTTGAACCACATCAATTACTTTCCTCACAGAGTGTGCAGAGGTAATGGGAAGAGAAGAAACCATCAGCTGAGCTGGGGTGCTGAAAGTCTGGCAACAGTGGTTACATCTTCCTAACAAGTAAACAGGTATCACGTAATATAGGAGAAACTCTGCCAGTTTAAGCAATTCTCATATATAATAATAGAAACAAAGGAGACCTACATTGATGCTCAAAACTTCAAGCTTAAGCAATTTCAAAACAACTCAGTGTTCGGAAGAAAGGACCTTAAGTGACTCTGCTCATCCATTCCTTTGGCCTCCATTCGCTGAACACTGGACAGAGTTCCTGTGCTGCATGCTTGTAACATAGAGCAAGAGAAGGTCCTTGCCCCCAAGAGGCTCACCATCCAGAACAACCTTTTGAGGTCAGAAACCCCTTAGGAAATTTGATGATTGTTGCAAACTCCTAGAAAAATGCACACAGAATACTGCAGACAATTTCAGGGAATCATAGGTTCCCCTGAGGGAAATCATCCATGGATTCAAATGACTTTAGCCTTGATCAACTGAGAGAGGCAACTGTGTGCTGATAATACCCAGTTCCAAACCCCTGCTAGTTTGTTTCATCACTATTTTGGATTATGATTTAATACCTTTCAAGATTCTATGAGGTGAATGGACCCTAAATCCCCAAGGACACACATACAGCCCAGAGTCTTAAATGTGGTTCTGCCCCCCCGCCGCCCCATGACATTTAGGAGAGGCCACTGCTATTCTTTTCTTTTTTGAGAGAAAGTGGAGTTAAAAGGAATACAATACCACCACACTTCCTCACCTGCAGGACATCCAAATTTAACCCTGAGTAGCCAAGATTACACTCCATTAACTTCTTATGGGGTTATCTGTGTAAATTCATCTCTCAAGGCTGGCCTGGGGTAGATCAGTGCAGCCAACACATTCCATGTGCTGGAAAGCAGAGATTCTTTTAAGGAAAAGTGTTGAGCCTGGTTTCTGAGACCCTTAGCAACTCAGCCTTGGCACAGCTCCCTGAGGGAGGGCTTCTTTGCCAAGGTAGGTTTGCCAAGGATTTTTCAGGGAAAACCAATAGAACAAACCACCTCAGACAGAGGAGAAAAAAGGGGAAGGCTCACGCACAGACCTCTCTGGCACAGACCTAGGCCATCTCCATATCCTGTGGATGAGGTATTGGTTCTGTATAAAAAACAAGCATGAAATTAAAACAGTTCTTTCCAAGGCTGAGCAGTCAAGCTGAAGCCACCTGTTCTAGTGAGAATAGGTGCTCAGCTCCTCCCTTGTACCTAGACAGCTGCTGGCCTACCAGCTGGTTCTGCACTTCTACAGCCAGCAAACCAGGGCACCTGTTGGCAGCAGTTTCAGAGGTTTGCTTTCCTTTTACTGCCTTCAGCATGTACAAGCTGGGCATGGGGCCTCCAGGTCTGGAAGACCTAGATTTTCCCTTTGTGTCAATTTACTTTTTCATTTCTAAATTGATAGTTAATTGTACACATATATGGAGTGCAATGTGAAGTATCAATACATATGTACTTTCTGTAATTACCATGTTTATCACCTCAAATATTTCTTTGTATTGAAACACTAAAAATCCTTTCTCCTTTTTTTGAAATACACAATATTGTGGACTGTAGTCACCCTACTGTGGAATAGAACACAAAGATGTACCTCTCCTAACTGTAACTTGGTACCCATTGACAAACTCCTCCCATCCCTATTTCATTTCTAATATGGCTTCTGTGTAGTTTATGCAGTTGTTTTTCATACATAAAATGCAAGAAAAAAAACTACAGGCCATGCTAACATTCATATGGCCAGAAACAGATGTAGGCCAGAACTAGATTTTAAAAACTGAAAATGGTAAAGATTAAAGGGGGGAGGAGGTAGACAGGGAGCACATAACAGTTATACACACGCACGGGTATACACACAAACAGAGAAGGGAGCTGAGAGAATGAATTGTAGAGAAAAGCTTCATTAGACTCGGAGAGGCAAGCAGTGGCAGTATACCAAGGTCACTTCTAATTTAGACCATCTAATTGGCAAACAGGCTCCAAATGGCTATCATCTCACAGGGCTTGGAATTAATGAAGCCCGATTATTTTCATTACTTTCCTCTGAGATGGAGACAAAGTGGAAGAGCTGATACCCAGGTGGGTGTGACAGCCCTAGGGCCAGGACCATCGGAGAGTCCCTGCAGGGTGCGAGGGAGGGGCAGATGGCCAGCCTGTCCCAGAGACTCAGGCACAGTCACACAGGGAGCACAGAGTCACAGACACTGACTGAAGATCACAGGAGGCAAACTACTGCTCTCAAAAGAGGGATGCAGAGAAAACAGCAGGCAGGGCAGGCCAAGGAGCACAGAAAGGAAATCTGTGCATGTACAAAAATTAAGGAATAAGAACTAGAAAGAGAGAAAAAGCAGTTCCTGGACTCACAGCCAATCCTCATCTCCACTGTGAGGTCCTATTTTGTTAAGTGATTAAGGAACAAAGAAAATTTCCCCATATTAATGATCCAGGATCCCAGTGGTATGTCCTGTCACTTAGAAGGACAGTGATCAATTAGAATAATTTAAGAGTACTGAAACGCATGGTAGGTGGTCTTTTAGGGGCCAGAAACATGTGCCCCATGCCCTCAAACCACCTTCCCCAAAAGACTGAGAAAATAAGAGCATAGAGTAGTGGCTTCTCTCTCACACCAATTTGAAATCTCCATCTTCTCTGTAAATACTCATGAGACTTAGATATGTGAAAATGATATGGGAATGGTGGGAGCTGCCTAGCCAGGTGTGGAGGGATACTTATCTCCCTTAAGCTTTATAGATTTCCTCCTTTCCTATGACATGTGCAAAGATATCATTTGGAGCTGTGGTTCCAACAGGCCAAGCAAAAGGGCTGTGGGTGCAGTTTCCACAGTGGAAGGCCAGCCCTGCAATTGTTCCTAGTGAATTATATTTTTCAAGCCCCCTCATCAGTAAAAGAAGGGGCCCATGGAAGACATAGATATGAGATGCACAGCATAAGCAAGCAGCTGTTACCATAGCAACAGACATATTAGACACTGCAGGTTCCTGAAAGCTGTCTGATAAGGTATTATTAAATGAAGCCTCCTCAAAACGTTCTCCATTTACAACTGAACGGGAAGACATTGTGTAGAAGGTAATCTATTTCCATTTATCAGGGTGGAATTTACTTTTAGGGGGACTGAAACCCAATTCAAGCTGGATCCAGAGACCTTGGACTCGGAGCAAAAAAGTATTTACTAGATTTTATAGCTTTAGATACCCTGGACACATCCCATGTCTGCCAAGAATTATCTGGGAGATTTTTGCCAGCTTTTCCTGTTTTGCAGCGAAAGGTACCTAACTCAGCCAAACCCACTGGGTAAGAAAGAAGATTCACTCCTCACACTGCCATTCATTCTAGCCATTCAGGGAAAAAGAGGGCACTACTTTTTTCTCTTGAAGGATGACCAAAGACTGGCTTAGAAAATGGAGTTCTGATTTGAGGGGCATGTCTCATCATGCTGTTTTCAGAGTTTCCTCCTCCAGTTGGCTAGGAACAAACAGATAAATCATCAGAAAGCCTAACCAGTACTTTCCAAGGGCCAATTTTCTAATGAAATTGGAATAAAATAACCACCAGGAGCATGATTTTTAACCATTGGTTTACTATAGTTGTAAAACAACTGTAAATTTCATTTTAACACCAAACTTTTCAGAGGAAGGACACTGGCATCCGCCCTCAACTGGGATTCCAGGTTCACCTGGAGTATGGCTACAAGCATTAGTAGTTCTTTTCCTGCCAAACTGAAGGACTGAAGTGACAGTGCATCACTGGGTCCAACGCAAACCATCCTCATGACTCGAAAAACCAATTCAACACTGACATCCATGTCATAACCCCATCTTCCCATGTAAAGAAAGTGTACAAAATTATCCTTCACTTTTAAATAAAAAGGAAAATACATGGTTATATTTCCCACATTTCTCAGAACTATCAACTTTTTTTTGGTACCGGGGATCGAACTCTGGTCCTTGTGCTTGCCAGGCAGGCGGCAGAACCACTGAGCTAAATCCCTCGCCAGAACTATCAACTTTAAGACAATTAGTTTTCTCTTGTTCCTGGCAAACTGACTTGTATAACCAGCACATTTCCTATAATTTGCGCTCTTTTCTCAAATGTCTAGAAAAATCTGCCTTGTCTGGAGTGAAAAGATGAGGCAACAGGGCTTTCTATACAACATACCAAGCACAGCCCTTTTAGGGAGGAGTTTCTCCTACATAGCTATGTTGCAAGAGGCTCCAGAATGGGGATTATTAGCCAGCTCCCTGAATGTATCCTTCTGGTCCTGGCATTGTACACGCAATTTTGTATTTGCAGAGTATTTGATGGAGGGCCTGTAACAGTGCTTATTAAGTTTTAGTGTGTATAAAATAGCCCAGGATAGATGTTGTATTATTTTCATCAGTCTCGAAAAAGGCTGAGAATCACTGCTTGCAAAGGTTGCTGGTTAGTGGGTAATTCTCAGAAATGAGATTGGTTCACAAGCAAACATAGCAGTAATATCCTGCCCTTGAAGATTCTGTTGGTAAATGAAGATTCATAATGATCACCAGAGTTACCACTTGAAATGTACCTTCCTATTGCTTTTATGAAAATATGACAAACACTGGATATTTGAAATATAATTTACATGCTATGCTGATCCCTAAGAATGTGAAAATAAATTTTTACTGTCTAATGTAAACCAGTCAAGCAGATTACTATAAGCCCACAGTTCTTACACTAGATTTATATTAAACAACAAAAATAACCACTTGAGCAAAAGAAAAATATAGTTTAGTATTGAAATGCTTCCCTCTTCACACCTCTTTCTGTTCCTTCAGGCTCCTAGGGTGCCAGGCCATTAGCTAAGAACTGAGACAAGGCCTGGGAAAATATCTTTGGTATTTCCAGAGCTAGTAAGTAAGAATGCCAGGAAAACCTACAACATGAAAACTCATCCATCCATAGGAGGAAGATCTGTTCAACTTACAGAGAACATTTCACAAAGTTCACTCACCTATGTAAAAATGCTCAGAAAGTGAATCTATACTTGAAAGCTGCCTGGGAGGAAGCTCATGGTAGTCACCTTTGAGTTTCCCATTGGCTGGTAAAGTTCTCTTGATACATCATCAGTTATATGTTCCTCATGACTAAACATCACTTCCATTATTCATTAATTGTATATAACCAAATGGAAAAGGTAATGCTTACAGGTGATATGTATGTGACCTGTATGTTATAATGTAGAATTCTGAACAAGAACAAGTTACTGCTCTGGGAATCTTCACATGAAAAGGTGATCAAATTAACTTATTACTCTACTGTTGAAATAATACTAAGGTAGAGGTGATAATCATTCTCTTCGGCAGTTTTTATTCTGGTGACCAGGAAAAGACTTTCCCAGTAGCCCCAATATAGTCAAAAGCAAGACATCTTTGCTACCTATGGCATTCTGAAAAGTTTTCACATTGTGATTAGAATTAAACTGGAGGGGGGTTGTTTTGAGACAGGATCTCACTATATAGTTCAGACTGGCCTTGAATTCACTGTGTAGCCTAGGCTGGCTTGAATTCGCAGCAATCCTGCTTTAGCCTCCCAAGTGCTGGGATTATGGCATGTGCCACCACACCCAGTGCAAAATTAAATATTTATACTAGCCTTTGGGGCCATATTTACAGTGGCCACTTAAGAATCATTCTTTCAAAACCTGCAGGTATATCAGCATCCTATTTAAATGCAAAGCCTACACTGATGAATCAATATGTCATATCCAACTGACAGCTTTCTTGCTTTGAGAACAAAGTATTCACTTGAGAAACTTCTATGTTATAGGGCCATATCTAGAGTTGGAAAATGTGGGTTCAAAATTCAACTGTACCACTTACAAAGGGTACCAGGTCAGTTAACCTCTTTGAGCCTCAGTTTCCTCATCCGTTAATGAGAACATGTCAGACTTTTTCTTTTTTTTAAATGAGGTTTGTTATGTGGATGAAATGAGACATAATGAACGTATGAGCAACCCAGACCATGGCCTGTTCAATAAAATTTGGGAGATCCTGGGTATGATATCTTCATGTAAGTGGTTAGCTAATCCATGCCTCTGCATCCTGAGAAGCACACATACAGCACTCTGAGCCATCATCAGGCCATGGTCCTGCAAGTCTAAGGCAGGTACACTAGAAGGAAGGTCGCAGAACTAGGATGATTTTCTGATGCTTTCAACTTTACACTGGCTTTGTCTACCAACCTTGTTCGTGTCACTGCATCACCTCTGACCCCTGCAGGAAGAAAAACCATGGGATCCTGCTCCTGGCCACCTTACCGTCATAATGAGCTTCTCCACGCAGTCAGGTGCCACACTGTGGAGGTGGGTGAGGTGCAGCTGAAGGTGGATCTTATTGTTGAGCATGTCCTGGCACAGGGGGCAGCGAAGCATGGGCTGCACTGAGTGCTGTGTCATGGCATGCACCCGGAGCCGGTTCACATCGACATTGCTGTACTTGCAGTAGGGGCACTGGTACATCTGTGGGGACACACCCACCGCTCTGGCTGAATCTGCCACTCCCACCACCAACTGTTTCTGCCCCAAGCCCACCCATATGGAAGTTCACACCCCACTAGTGTAAAAACACTCCTCCCACTAACAGAGTGCATTCTGGCCTTACCTGCTCCGGTTTGATCGCCTCAGATGTTTTTGGTCGCTTTGAAGAGAGCTGAGACTCCGAACTACCTGGGAAGGAGATGCGTTTGGAGGCAGCAGGAGAATCCGTCAGCTCCTTCTCTGCTTGGCTGGATGAGGCTAGAAGAAAAAGTAGAAGATGCAATACAGTAGTAACCAGACCAGGCCAGCTCCCAGAGCATTTGTTTTGGGTGAAAATCAACATTCATTTCTAGCACAGGATTTTCTTACAACACAAAAATCCAGAAAGGATGAACATCCAGACTGACTTATCAAGCACGTTGGAAAAGAAGCAAGTGTTTCTTTTTCCTCAATGAATTTCTGTCACTACCTTAACAACTGAACACGGAGAAAAGGCTCTGGAGTTAGATTAGGCTAAATCCAGTCTTGTCTAACCTCCGCCCTCTCAGCACAGACTGCTGTCTTTTATCTATGGGGGGCAACAGGGCTGAGGGTGGGTGGCAAAATCTCACCAATTGTTTTGCCAATCTGAGTATGAGACACACTTTGCTTCAGAGACGTAAGAATCTATGTGCTCAACTTCACTGTCCTACCTCTTAGAATCACAACATAGCGTATTACAGGCAGCCCCCAGAACCTGAAAAGGGTTCAAGGGATATCTGCATACCAATATACAGAAAAAATCAACTTTGGGTTCAGCAGTTTGCTTTCAGGGAAGTAATAATTGAAGAGTGGAATGAGGCGGGGCATGAATCCAAGTTATAATCGAGCCAATGCTTCACACATAAGAATTTATTCAGAGTGGGTGGTAAGAAGGAAAAGTTTCCTATCTGCTTGCACAACCACGCCTCTGCACTTCTCTTGCCCACACCACCAAAAAAATGAAAACATCAATTACTGAGGAGAGGCACATGAGGTTTGAATAGCAAATAGTAGGCATGGAGGTACTGGTGGAAGGAGTTCTCTGAAGCACTGAAAAGACCCTAGAAGATTACGATGAGGAAACAGGGTATGGGTTTGATCCGGATAAGCAGAGCTCCTCTAGTGTAAATATAAAGCCCAACATGGTTAGACTTGGTCATTCTAAAGCCTGGTCAGTCTCCAAGGGTTGCCCTTTCACTTATTTTTCCACTTTTCAGAATTTTGCTTAAAGCAACAGGGAAAAAAGAAACCCTGAAAATGGTAGTGAGGATGTATATACCCAATGCTGTCGTCAACAAATAATGTGAATCAGCATGTAGGTCACTGGTTTAGAAAGCCTAATTTTTGTTCTGTGGTAAAACTGCTTTCTGTCTCACCCTGTCTAGTTGTCTAGCATGTACTTTCACTTTATGTTCACCTTTAAAATTTGTTCTGTCATGGACACTAAGGTGTTGTCATTACAGATGTGCACTTTAATAAACAATTTTAGAAAATCAATTTTATTCATTAAAATCATAAGGCCATAAAATAATTTTGAAAAAAAAAAGCCAAATGCAGAAAATATTCCAGGAAGTTGATGCTCTTCTCAGAATGCATATCTTGTGACTTTTAACCTCCATGTCTTGGTAACCTGGTCTACGTAAGTTTGGAGGACATCTATTATTTAAAAAGTACAAGGACAAGCATATTACACATAGACCCCTCCTCCTCCCAACACACAGATTCATAACAGTACTTTAATTTGTCTCGAATCGACTTCAAACCCATTTTGCTCTTAATGGGAGTTATTCATTTTCACTTGAAAGGTAATACATGACGGCTGGAAATTTAATGTGATGGACTGGCTGCCGATTAACTAGGTGCTGTAACATTCTAGTCCGGTTCCCCTATGGCCCACTTCCCATCTCCTGGGCCCCCTTAGACCTGATCCTACAGAACTGTGCATTGCAGGTTTTAGGCCTTGCAGTGTGGTGAGTTCCTGGCTAAACCCTCTCACAACTACAAGGCTTTATTGTTTCAGGGACTTAAGTTCCCCCTGCCTCTAGAAGGTTCTCCACCATTTTTATTTTTTGCATAGTGCTTATTTTCTGTATATTAACTCTTTAAATACATTCTTAAGATGGTGAGTGGTCATATAAAATGATACTCACTTAGATGTCTACTTGTCACAATCATCCCCTCCCCTTCCCTACTTCCACCCTCAACTGTAAGTATTAGGCTGGGCTCTACATTTATAGTTGGAAAAGACCCACTTATCTGCTGCTTCTTCCAACAGGGGCAAGCCAACAAATGAGTCTATTCCAAACACCCATCCCCCACAATTCTGTTAGTCTATCTGGCCCAAAAAGACGCCTGCTTTTACAGGATGATACCACCTTATAAGTGCTTCCACCTGCCTGCCACCACACCCCACTGCTGGGTCAGCAGTGTGACTAAATGGGCACTGAAGCTAAGACCACCAAAATCATCCCCACTATTTTGGAGCTGAAAAGCAAACGCAGTAGCCCAGTGCTGCATCAGTTTCTGTATAGAACCAGAGTCCATCCTCTTTCTTCAATCCTGAGTGCATGAATTGTGGTGAGGCGGCAGAGGTGAGATACTTCTAGTTTCAGAAGCCACTATTCTCCCCCTCCCATAGAAAGGGAAGCTTTATTTAACCCCCCCCCCAAAAAAAACTGCTCTGTAATTCTAAAGCTTCTTTTGTGAGCTTGAGCTAAGGAGCCACCATAGAGTATTTTAAAAAATAAAATCAGCACTCATTCACACATTCCTCTTTTTCCCTAGTAACATGATGGCCCCCGCTATAATGTGTAAAACTTGAGGTTCATTTTGGATCCAAAACAAACTATTTGATCAGATCTCTCTAAATCTCTCTAAAAGTGGACATTAACCACCTGCAGCTCACCAGCTCCTTCTCTTAAACTAGTGCCATTCTTATAACCGACTACAAACAACACCCAATTAGGATCTCATGGTATTTCCCTGGGGGGGTATGGGGGCTGTTCCCAGTGAAGAATGAGGTTAAATGTAGTGACACAGGCCACTCCTAGCTTGACCTCTGACGTTAAAACATCAATCCCTGTCAAGATCCAGTAAGAAAATGTTTGTACAGTTTCTGTTCATGGGCAAAGAGTTGTACAAGTTCTCCATCAACATGCTAGATGCAGGTTTATCACAGGCCACAGACAATCAGAGGTTTTCTCAAGCTTCTTTCTGAACAACTTCTAAAGGGCCAGAGTCTCAAAATCAATTTCTCCTCCACTTCTGTCACTAGCATACATGGTAGGCATAATGGAAATGAGGTAGTATGAATAACAACAAAGTACTGTGGTTTTCTGCTTTGAAGACTTTTCTAAACTTTAACTTAAACTTCAGAAGAGATGTCACAATATAGGAAACACCATTAAAAAATCAATTACTGGTCACTCTAAGTCTGCTATGATGTCATGTTAGTGCAAAAGAAACTGATGTGCTCCAGAGACAAGACACGGTTTCAACAGTCAGTACCTGGAATTTTTGGCAACAAAATACAAGCAATGAAAAACCCGAACAATTTGAAGGATCACTACCTATAGTAATTTCTATAATGATAAAGTGAATTGGAAACAATATAGTTTATCTTATAACAGGACATGGTATAAGTAAATAATGTATAGTCATGCTATTGTATATTAGAAGACATTAAAAATGATAGCTGTGAAGCACTTTAGAAAACTCAGTGCAAATGTAAATCACAAAATAAGATAAAATATGAATCATGCCCTGTTACAGTTATGTAAAAAATAGTAATTAGAACAAAAACTAGAAGAAAATGATGTTAGTATTTAGGTGATATCATCATGGGCCATTTTCTATCATGTAGTTATATTAGTTTTAATATTAAAATTAATGGGTTAGTATTTAAATTCTGCTGTCCATGAAAAAGATGGTATTTGTATCCACACTGAGCAAAACATCAGGCGGTGTATTTTTACTTTGATGGTTTAGGCAATTTTTCTCATTTTGGCAGTTATGTCATATGAAAATATGTGCTAAAACTTGACGAATCTTTCATAGGCAACATGCTGGGCTCCTGGCATTTCAAAGGAGATCAAAATGTGGTAAGGAATCACATGAGTGTGCTGTAAATGACATATTCTAGAAAGCAAGGTAAATTGGATATTGTGACGACGAAATGCTGCGTCAGACCCCAAGTGAAACTTAGGACAACATGAACTGTTGATTCCTTGCCACACACTTTCAAAGGAGTAAAGAAAAGCACTTGCTCAGTCATCAGGAGTGAGGGTCGCCCTACCCAACTTGTACAGGAAGGACAGGCATGCATCCCTATTCACAAAGTTCAAACTTCGCTTTCTATGCCAAGAGTCAACATTTCCCTTTAAACTGTGATGGGAGGGCCACTAAACCTGACAAAGAAAAATTCATTTCAATGGGAAACAGTCATCAACGCAGAGCTTCCTGAGGGGGGATTATCTATGCATGGAGACATAAGCTTTCGTATATCCACTGATTTTATCATATTTGTTTGGGAAGTATTTAACTTCTAAAAATAATTATTTTTAAAAGTCACCCCTCTTCTCATACTAATCAGAGGGAACAGAAGAGACAGCCTATTTGAATTCATGTAAGTTTTGTTCATAGTTTTTAAGAAATGGCTTTATGGATGTGAGAGCGATCTGGCTGCGACATCCGTCACCCTATTGATAGCCCAGGTTGATGCACCTGGCTAGCCGGGTGTCCCCTTCCTCCCTCTCTACTCCACTTGGGTCCCTCCTGAAGCTGCGCGCTGCAGCAGCTGAAGAGGATGACCCCGCCCCCCAACCCGCCAACCAACACTCCCAATAGAGAAGGACTGTTTCCTCCATCAAGGGTATACAAGTAGCTGCACACCCCTGCTAAAACCTCCTTAAAAGCTCTCAAGAAATGGCTTTATATGGGGCCGGGGATTTAGTTCAGTGGTTCCGGCGCCTGCCTCGCAAACTCAAGGACCCGAGTTCGATTTCTGGTACCAAAAAAGATATGGCTTTATGCACACAGAATAATTAAAACAAAGCTAGCAAAACTTTATGTAGGAAGTGACATCTTTTAAAGAATATGTAACAATAGTATCACTCAGAGGGCTTATAAAGAGGCCAAATATGAACACAATAAACATTCACTGTCCCCTAACACTTCACCTGATATAGACACTCTTCCTAGAACAAAGTCTCAGCCAATCCCAATCTTCACTAACAAAATCCAAGTTGGAATCACGGAAGTTTTCTGGAATCACAGAAAACTTAAAAGAGCTCTACATGCGATTCCAGTAGACTTAATGCCAATGCATGCCTCATTTCTAAACTGGTG